TTTTGGGCGTTTTGGGGATATTTTTTTTGGGACATTTTGGGGACGTTTTGGGTGTTTTTGGGGATATTTTTTGGGGATATTTGGGGGATGTTTTGGGGATGTTTTGGGGACATTTTGGGGACGTTTTGGGCGTTTTGGGGTCCCGTGCCCCGCCCAGCTGCTGGCCGTGCCCACGATGGAGAACGGAGCCAAAGTGGCCACGAGGTTCCTGCGGGAGCTCAGCGACATCCAGGTGGGAATTTGGGGCGAAAAACGGGGAGTTTGGGAAAATCGGGAAAAACGGGGAGTTTGGGGAAATCGGGGAAATTGGGAAAATCGGGAAATTTGGGAAAATTGGGGGGAATTGGGGTGAAAAACAGGGAGTTTGGGAAAATCGGGGAGTTTGGGGAGTTTGGGGAAATCGGGGGGAATTTGGGGCGAAAAACGGGGGCTTTGGGAAAATCGGGGAGTTTGGGGAAATCGGGGAAATTGGGAAAATCGGGAAATTTGGGAAAACTGGGGGGAATTGGGGTGAAATCGGGGGAGTTTGGGAAAATCAGGAGAAATCAGGGAAAATCAGGGGAAATTGGGGGGAATTTGGGGAAATTTGTGGGGGGAATTTGGGGAAAATATTGAGAAATTTGGGGGAAATTTGGGAAAAATTGGGAGGAAATTGGGGGGAAATTTGAAGGAAATTCGGGAAATTGGGGGAAAATTTGGGGGAAAAATTGGGGAAATTCGGGGGGGAAATGGGAGAAAATTGGGGAAAAATTGGGAAAAAATGGGAGAAAATTGGGGGAAATTTGGGGGAATTTGGGGAGGGGTCCTGCCCCCCCGTGACCCCTCCCCTTCCCCCAGTACGGCCGCGTCCCCAGCCCGTGGGCCCAGCCCGTGTGACCCCCCCGGACGGGGCCGAGACCCCTCCCCAAAATCCGCCGGCGCCGGGGGGGGAGGGGCCGGGACCCCCCAGAATGAACCAAAAATGGGGGAGGGGCCGCAAGCCCCCCTCCCCCCCACCCCAAATCCCCCTCGGGGGG